CCATTCATGCCCTTTATTACAATGCCAAAGAAGTGGAGTTTTGTTGTTTTTATATTCTGAAGAGAGACACAAACCACTCCGTGCTTTGGCAATTGTACAAGTATCATTTAAGGATAACTTTTTCATTGAAAATAGATTATTATTAATAATTATCCAGTTTTTTTATATGAAAGTTTATAAGAAACATCCATTCAGTGGGCTTGTTGTGTTAGGATTGTTCTTCAAGATTTAATAGATCCAGGAGGAACAAGATCTACATACCACAAGCTATGTCTCCACGCTTCATATATTCAAGGAACGAGTAGTATGTTTATGAGAGATTTGGGACAGAAACCCTAACCTCAATATGTATAGCATTTTACTTTTTTTGCCACACAGCAAGCTTTTTTCTTATATCGATTTTTATATCATTTTGCTTAATTTTTTTGAGCCATACTCGAATGACGTGTGATTTTTTTTTTTGACCACATCTTCATATTACTACTCTACTTGCTATAAAAAAAGGAGCAGGAAGCTAAAGGACAAATGTCCTGAAGCTGAGTGAGACGTGCATCAGCAAGCTTAAATTTAATATCATTTTCTTTAATATTCTAATTCTCTTCTAAACTTTATTTAGCCTTCTGCTACTGTGAAGCATGAACTCTAAAGAGTGAATGCGAAACAGCTGCGGAGCGAAGCGAAGCATAGTTAACTATTTGATTTTCATTTTATTTTTAATTACCAAAATTTATATTAATTCAAAGTTTATCTACAATTTAATATTTTCACGATTTAACTTTATCCACATTAACAAAAAAAATTACTATTCTATATCACATTCAATTTCTCATTTACTTCCAACTAACTCATTAATTTTTTGGTACCTTTTTTAAAAAAGTTGGGACAGATTTTATAACTAGAATATATAACAATGGTACCAAAATTCGTATACCAAAAAAGTTAGGACAATTTTTATAATTAGAATATATAACAAGGGTACCAAAATTCGTGTACTAAAAAAGTTAAGCCAGATTTTATAACTAGAATATATAACAATGGTACTAAAATTTGATTACCAAAATTCGTGTACTAAAAAAGTTAGGACAGATTTTATAACTAGAATATATAACAATGGTACTAAAATTTACGATATATTGGATATATAAGGTAAATATTTAATTTGAACAAAAGATTTTTTATAAGTATATTATAAAACTTTTGGTACCAATATGGTTGTACATACATGTAATAGATGTGGTCATGAATTTAAAAAATTAGTTAAGTTACGTATTCATCTTAAACGAAAAAACCCCTGTCGACAACGAAATTTACCAAATCAAAATACAGCTTCACTCCCTAATTCAGAAATAGAATATCTCGATGCATTGGGATTATTGCAAAACAATGGAGCCTCGCCCTTATTTGATTCCTCAGAAATTGGTGAAAGCAGTCATTCAAAAGCTAACTCATCTCCAGAGGCTGAAAGAGAATATCTCGAAGCATTAGGAATATTAGAACCTATTCCGCAATTCCATCAAACGGATATTATTAGTTCAGGATGTGAATTATTAGATGATCATTATCAAGTTGAGATAGGAAAAGAAAGCATATACGCACAAGACTCAATCAATACTCTCGGAGTACTTAGAGAACAAATAATAAATATTTTCAATGACCGATTTGACCTTACTCATGGGTTCAAAACTCGATTATGTCTCACAGGAAAAAT